TATGGTATTCTTATGAAACATCTAAGCAGAAGTTAGTTTAATCCTATGGAAGACTAGGTCTGTGTTTTGGGCTAAATCCAACCCTCAGGGATTAACTGAATGGGTCAAATTCTTAACAAATATACCAATTCAGTTCAAAATTAAAATACAAAGGGAGTAATCACACCCTACAGGCTCTCTGGAAAAGTTTGCTCTTCACTTAGTTCTCGAAGCCATTACTAATGGAACCTGTATTTAATTAAGGTTATGTATTTAAATTAAATTTAAATTAAGTAAAGATGCTTGTGAGTTGAGCTGGGTTTCCAGAGACTACATAGATACACAACCATGTTTTTGTGGCAATAGTACATAAGTGGTTTGCTACTGAACTCTTCTATTTTTTGTTTTTTAAAAACTTTTCAGTCTGGGGTAGATCTCTGGTGGTCTCCCATCCACATACCAACCAGGGCCAATCCTGATTACGTTTCTGAGCTTGGACAAGTTCAGCCACATGTTACTACCTATTGAAACAATTCAAATTTAATTTAAATGAAATCAAAATTTTATTCTGGCCCTGCCTACTTATTTGTCCTGGCCCAATCACTTATTTGAATAAACCCCCTGAAAAAAAATGGTGCAGCCCCTGTCTATATAAACAAAAATTAAAATGCTGCTGCAGATTCTGAGCCTGTCATATCAATCTTTACTGGAGTACTCTATTAACTTACACCATTAAACTTTGAAGAAGGGTATCTATTATTTAATCTCAAAAATTCCTTCTTTTTCATAATACAATTATTTATGAAAGTTATGACAAATTACTCCTAGTAAGCTGTTTCACTATTTTACTTCAAAATGAGGTGTTTAAATTAGACTAGCTGAACCTGATCTCCAGCCAAGCATATTTTTCAATATTATTTTAATTCATACATTTAGTAGGAAAACAAAATCAATAAGGAAATAAGAAAAAAGTATATTAGTCCACTGGCTGCCTAGAAGTAAAACTGAAAATCATATGGACTGCAAAAGCACTTTAGGTGAATTACTATCACAGACAAATTGTGGTTTTAGCACCAACTGTATTTATTTAGTAGCATGACTGAATGGGTAAATTTAACTTTCAGATCTTTGTCTACAAAACAAAACATACTACACACACATGCGTGCAACCCCATGCCCCCAAAGAACTGAAGAGTATACTAGAAAGAAATGTAATTCACATTTATTAGTGACTAAAGTTTGAAAAAAAATCAACTGTTTGCTTTCAAAAGACATCACCTCTTCTTTTAATTCGGTAAAAAGGCAAAAATTGTTCTTGTTCACTCAGAGCCCCTTCAACCCAGACATGCTCATTTACACCCTTCTCACTACCTGAACACAGATGATTTGCTTATGCATAGGAATAGATTGTATTCTCTATTTAATAGCAAGGTAATTTTCTGGAATAAATTCTTGAAAAGCCTGAACAAAAACAGTTTAATGCAGCATCTGGGATTCCTCAGCAATAGCACAATAATTTTCTAAGAAAAAAAAAAGGCAAATTTGTTTTTGCAGCCCCCTAGGAATAGTATGAAAAGTATTTGCTTTCAATTACCACATGATCTAACCATTTAGGCTGCTTCTTTTCTTCAAAGCAGCAATGTATTATGCTGAAGAATAGATTCCATTTTCTGTACCATTTCATTATTGAACAGTCAGCCTTTACAAAGAAATTATCAGCCCTCTTTCACTGATAATCGTAACACTTAGGTTTGTAGCAAGGACCTGTTTATGAGTGCCGAATGGATTATCCTTGCAAGTCATTTCTCATAAAAGTATGGTATCAGTTGAAAGCACCAATACGGTGCTCTATAGCATGAGTAGGCCAGCTGGTGTTTTCCAGATGTTTTGGACTTCAAATCAAACCACATGTTCTATGGCAACTACTCTACAAGGTGAGCAAGAGACAGAACCAAAGCTGACAGCATCATCAGATTTTGTTTTTTCACCATTTTGAGTCAGGAAAACATGAAAACTCTATCAACTAGGATAATCTTAATATAAGCTCCACCTGCAGGAAAACAAAAAGTCTCAGCGGCACCCACTGTATAATCAAACCACTAAAAACTATGATCCCTCAAATTCCAGATCATCATCACCCCAGCTCCATGGATAAGCAGGAAAAGCAGCTTTTTATGGAAATAAGGAAATTGCGGAACAGCCTTAATACTAAGTCAGGCCATTGGCCTTTGGTTCACAATGTTTTTCTATTCTGAATTACAGGAGTTCTCCACATAGTTTAGATTTGCTGGAACATGTAACTCCCCAAGAGAATGGTTTATTAAAATGGCTGTCCTCAGAATAATAGATCCTGAAGAGTACTGATTATCCTGAGGGACATCCTGTTGATCACCTGGCTGATCTGTAGAATGGAGATAATCTGGCTTTTGACATAACTGCTCATTCGCATTTTCTACTCAGATGTAGAATATGGTTTTCTTGATCTGTGGAGGTCAAAGCAATGAACTCTGCTCAGTCTGAGGACACAGACAAGTTCTTTGGAGGACTGAGTTAAACTCCTTGTTCATTAGATTCCTGCCCTTGCTACCTAACAAAACTGGTTACTTGGTGGTGGAAATTTTAAACACTTCTTTTAAAGGGGGATTATCTCTTCTAAAAGAAGCATGATATGAACTTCATTTGATCCATTAGCCTAATACAGTAATTAGTGGCTAATTTCCAGGCTATTCAGCTTGCATATAGAGGTGGTTTATTCACGCTGACACTGAATGTGGGAAAGTTGTGTATCAGCAAACAGATATAACTTATTGTCTCTTTATGTATTTAGTCTATACATGGAGGGAAGATGTGAAAAGGCTACAGCAGAGATAGATAACCTTATAGATGCTTAGGGCTTCAATTCTTACCAGGCTCCAGGAGCAAGAAATTGTGGCATCTGCAACCCACCCATCATGAGTCCATCAGCTAGTGTTTCTCCCCTTTAAAGAACAAAACAAAATCCACTTTTGCTGATCATAGCACTGGGGCTGTATTTTCATTTTCCCACCTAAATGGAACTTCTGTGTTGGCGAAGTTTGAAGCAACTATTCATCTCATTTAAAGTGAAATAAAACTGTGTAACTGAGTCACTGTGTGACTTGAACTGTGAAGGTGATCTGCAGCTGTTTGCAGTTTTGAAGAGCAAAGAAGGGGTGGGGCTAGAGGATGCTTTCATATGCAATTAACTCTGAGATTTTAAGGCAAGTGGGAGATTTTTTTTTCTCCCACCACTGATTGCTATCTGTTCCTTCCAATTCTTGATTTCTAAAATGAGAAGTGCAACAGCTTAATTGCCTTGAAGTTATACTCTGACTGCAAAGTCTGCTCTTGATAGATGGGTAGGAAGGGAAGAGAGAGAGAAAGATCTATTTCCTTCTCAGTGGAACTGGTAATTTGCATCTGCTCAGGTTGGTTCTTTTTATTAATAACTCCAGGAGGCTTTCATGTCTGAAATTATCCCTAACAAAAAGGGATAATTTGTGAATGCCAATATGATCTGTCATATTCCTGCACATCCAGGGATAACCTTCCTTAACCTTGGAATTCTCCAGCTTCAACTCCCAGCATCCTCAGCTATTGTCATGAGGGCAAGGAGAATGTTGTGAACGGAAGTTAAATATCTGCAGGACTTCATCATTGCGAAAGGCTGTTTCAGACTAATAGGCAGACTGAGATTTAACTCGCCGGCAGTTTTTACTCCTCTTGAATGTTGCAAGTCAACTTTAAATTTTAAAAATATATTGAACAGTTCTTAATATAGTATAAAATATTTTTAGGGATGCCTAACCCTCCCCCTCCTCCAATTTCAGAATGAGCATTTCAGTATAAGTATTTTACCTGTAAATTTTAAAAAATTAAACCCCTGCACAATACGTCTTCAGGAATTTATAAGCTAAACAACAACATACAGAGGAACTCAAAGGAAGGTCAACAGGGTCAAAATTTTTGCACACAATTCAGGTGATCACCCCCCCTCCTTTTTAGAAATGGAACCTACCATTTTGAAGCCACGCCCCCCCATACACCCCTGAGAACCTAAATGAAAATAGCATGAACTACAAGCAGATATGGCCTCCTTATGTAGAAAAGAAACACAATTCTATTTCTTCTTTACAGAGCTTGTGTTTTAAGAGCAATTCTGTTCTATGTGTATATGAAAGTATGCATGCATATTCATTCATATATTATCTTTGGAGGGGTGCATCAGTTTTCCTGGCAAGATTTCAGAGGGGGCTAACCCTTGCCTCCTTCCTAGGGCTGAGAATGAGTGACTGGCCTAAGACCACCCAGCTGGCTTTGTACCTAAGGTGGAACTAGAACTCACAATCTGCTGGTTTTTAGCCTGGTGCCTTCAACTATTTCATGAAACAGGTTCCACATATTATCTACAATGCTGTGATTCTCAAACAGCAGTATAGGAAGTCCCTGGGGTTAAAAACGCCTGGTTTATGGACAGCCCATAGTTAAGAACAGAGCCTATTGTAGCAAAATTCAAGTTAAATACACAATGATTTGAGTTAAATACACAATGGTTCAAGTTAATTACATAATTTGTTCTTAAACTGGGGACACCTGTACATTAGTTTTATTAAGGGTTTAAAAAAATTTTTTTAAATGTTTTTGTAGAGAGGTTTCTAAAATCAAGACTACCAATGTGTCATAAATCAGTAATGTAATAATGCACAGGGAAGACTTGAAATGTGCATTATTTTGATAAGATATATGTTAATCCTGGTTTTATTGAATTAACTAATGCTTAATGCTTTTCACCCTTCTGATGTTACATAGAATTCTGATTAAATACATGTAGGCTTGCATTTAAGTTTGCAATTTGCTTCCTTTACTTTCAAAAGAAGAGAGAAGATGGAAGAGCCTTCAAGCCAAATGTTCCTGTAGGATATAGTATTCAGGAAGCACAGAACCTTGAATCAAGGGTATATGTGAACAGCATCAGATTGCAGAATCTGTTTGGTCTTACCTAAATTTATGGCTCACAGTAAAGCAGTTTCCCATCATTGTACATTTAACCTTAGCAAATTGTTTGCCTTGCAAACCAAATTGAAACCTACACAAAAAAAAGTTTTCTAATTCAGATTAGGAAATAATGGCAAAAAATGCTTTTCACTACTCATAGTTTTCTCAATGAGAGAAGAAATCAGACAGGCAAATTTAAAATACAACTTGTGATCTGAAAGATGGTGAAGCCACACTTCGATACTTCATAGGAGCCAACCTAAAATCTGGCATGCATTTTATTACTTATTACATGACAATGTCAGCAGCCCTTATTGGTCACTATTACTTTTTCAATTTCTTATTAATATTCATCAATGGAAATAATAGTAATAGTAATAATAATAATAATAATAATAATAATAATAATAATAATAATAATCTGCCCAGCTTCCAGCAGCAATCTCAATCCATGGATTAGAAGAGAATATTTGTAGCTCAGGGTTGAACTGTGGAGTCCTTGGTGCTCTCTTGGTTTGCTTGCAGACATTTCATTATCCAACTAGGTAACATCAGTGCTAGTGAATGTTGGGTTTGCTCTGTTTACATACAGTAGCTTGCCCTGCCAATGTTGGTGGGGGTGTCGTTTTCTCCTTGGTAGTTCCTTGAATAAGGTATTGTTTTCTGTTTGATTTTTGTAAGGTGTTAATCCCTGCTTATCTGGGTGTTGGCTGCTGGAGAGGAT